ATCTCTACTTAACTAAAGGTAAAATGAGCTGTTAACTTGAAAACTACCACTTCATAACATCACAAGGTGGAACAGAGCATTTTGAGCTTTGGATATGTAGACAGACTAAAAAAAAATGATTACACAAACATGTGAATGAAACAAAACACAACTCCAAGTATGTTTTTGAGGAGGTAACAACATTATAACATGACTTAAACCTTACAAGAGTCAAGTTTGTGTAATACAGGACCTTTAAGTATATTTTTCAAACTCTAACTCAATCATCATCAATCATCATATGTTGCACTTTCTTCCAATGACCTCTTGTATAAAGCTCTGATTTCATTTTATTACTTGTCTTTCTATTTTATTTTGACTTGTACACATACATTTATATAATTATGTCTTATTTGACACCTGTCCTTTGTCTATCTTTTGTGCTACTTATTAGAATTTATTATTACCATTATTATTTTCACTCTTTGTTATTATATTATATTGTGATGTGTGAGCTAAATAAAAGTAAATAGACAGATAATAGATAAGTAAATAGATAAAGTTTGTCTAAGTCTAAGTCTATAACTGAACTCTCCTACAGCTCAATTGGACTACTTTCATTTTTAACCTTTGTCAGCACAACAGTACAGTAGGTTACAAGGTAGTCCATGGCGGAGGTACTATAATTTGTGTCTTTGTTATAGTGTAAAGTGGATACGCCTCTAAACACATGCCAACGGTTTTCTCGCATGCATGTAGTGTAAACTGGTGTTGTAAGCATCTTATTTCTTTTCTCCTCCTTTGTGTATTATGTCACTACATCAAACGGTATAACTTTACTGAGCTGTAAAAAGCCATGTTCCATTTGACTTAACTGCCCTTTAGCTTCATGGTAATCATGTGTGGCGTTAGCATATGGAATAGACGGACTTTTAGGGGATTTCTGAAAGATCCCAAAATGTACTTGGGCTCAACCAGGACCTCATTCCTCATGTCCAAGTAGCACCCCTGCATTCTCTGCCCTGACAGTTTTTACATCTCAAAAGTCTCCGGGGAGCGTAGGAGTCTAAGGGCAGACAGTGTACATCAGCAGAACATGGAAACTTTCAAGTGGAGTTTAAAACATTGGAGGAGAGAAGGCAAGAGATGATTAAGTATGAGTGTGTGTTAAGATTCGCTACGCAGCTGCCTGAGTTACTATCTGACCTCTAGTTGTACCAATTGTGGGGTTTTCTCGCTGTTTATTCGTTTTGATGCTAGGTCAGGACCTTCTCTCCCCCTCTGGGAATTCTTCAGGTCTGCAGTAATGTTGGCTCCTCCTCGGCAAACTGATCAGGAATGTACCAAGTGGGGTGGATGGAGGGGGCGGAGGTGGGACAACACAGGGTTTCATTGTTCTGCTACCTTTGCACCTTTGCAATCTCAAATCCTCACCTCTCTCCTTTGGATTCGCTCCCCTCGCATAAACACTATACCTGGCGCTAGAACTTCCCGCTTCCTGGATCACTCCCCCCAACCCCACCCCCTCTGTTATGACCCCTCCGTGATCATCGTACCTGACACTTTCCCACCACCATACCCTATTTACAACGCAGTGACAGAAGACTTCATCACTTTTATCAATTGACAGCCAGCGGAGAGGAAAAAGTGCCTAATTACAGGAGGAGTTATGGAGGATTTACAGGCATTTTCAAGGTGTGTGTTCTAACAGCAAAAGGGAATTCACTGAGTATTTTTCCAGGCTCATTTGTGGCCATGCGGTTCACTTAAAGGTGCATTGTGTAACTTTTCTGGTGGAGGGTCTTTCAAATGCTTTAATCCATGGAAATGATTTGTCTGAAATGTTTCACAGTATGGTATTAAACCTTTTTTATCTTCATACAGACCAAACCAGACCAAGTTATAGGTCAGACACGCAGAGAGGCGACCCCACACACAGTCAGAATACCAGTTTTTCTAGATATTTTTGAGCTATAAAACCACCTGCAATTGAGTACATGTAAATCAGAGCTGTTTAATGTCACACTGTGGAAAATTCCAGGCAGAGCAATGACGTAGGAACAAGCAGACGATGGATCCCCAACAAAAAAGTTGCATATTAACCTGTGTATCATTTGTTCATTCATTTTTCTAAATAAAACCAAAAATAAGAATACGAAAAAACAACAATTTTCTTCCTTATCTGTCTCCAAAACCCCAAAAAAAAAAAAAACGGATCTGGTTTAGACCTGATTTAGTCCTGGTTCAGTCTGTGTGCGGTGCAAAATTCCGGCATCGCAGTTTAAGTCACGGAAAAGAGAAACGGTCATTATCCATTTTTTCCATTATTCATTTAAACACACAAAATCAAAAACTGAAAAAAAAAAAAGAATCGTTATCCTTTTTTTTTCATTTTGGTTTTGGAGACAAATAATGAAGAAAATAGTTGTTTTTTCATTTTCTTATTTTCGGTTTTATTTTGAAAAACAAATGAACGAATGATACATATTGCACCTTTAAGACTCTACTTTTAAAACTATCAAAAAGTACTCTGTAATTTTTGTTATGTTTCATTGACAATCAATGGCTAATTTTACATTTATGCACCCAAATTCAATTCAGATCAAATGTTCTTTGATGAATGTCTTCCCCACTCTTCACCCCCATTTCACACTATCCTGTTTTGTCAAATAAAGCATAAAAATCTCCTCCTCTCTTGCCTAATGTAAATGGATTTAAACTCTCGTATCACTATTAATATAAAGGGAGGTGGAGGGATCCGGGCCAGTAAATTTGAGCAAGCACGGAAATACACACGATTACATATATCCTTCAAAGAGTTTATCATCAGTTTAAGATGTCTCCACCAGTCATTTCAGGAAATTCATACTATCAAAATAAGCAGAAGAGGAGTCATGCGTTACTTAGTCATAGAGCAGATCTCAACAGGCCTCTGCATGCCAGCTCCAGTTCAGTTTGTTAAATCCGTCACAGCAGTCACACAATACAGGCCAAAGCTCAGGCTGGGAGCAGCAGAGAGGAGCGACGATCCTTCAGACAGGGGAACATGGAGTCAGCATGCCCCCTCTTCCCCCCTCCCCTCACCCACAACACTCTTGAAGATGCTAATCCATCACAGTACAGTAGCCTCAGAGTCTTTGATCACTCTGGAGCACTTTGACGACCGGTCCCACAACAATGAAGGCCTCCTATTCACCGCAAGCACAGAGACGCCTCACTACAAAGGCCTGAGTTATAGTTCCACTCCACGGTAAGCTCGTATCAAGCAGATAAGAGCTGAGCTGATAATGAGGGCGCTGGGGAACACCTGACGCAAGAGGACTTACACAGAGGCATGACATTCATTAAACCGCCTTTGGAATATGTGGTTTCTCAGTCCGCCACGGCTCGGGCCCAAAGAAAACACGGCTTTATGAAAGTCATATATTTTTGCTTCAAAATGTATTTTAATAAAGTGAATGGATTCCTTTGGCCCAGTGATTGATTCCAAAAGGTGGACTGTGAACAATGGGCTGTGTGTTGTGGAGATTATAGTCATATTAAGACCATGTCCAATAACTTAATTCAGACAATTTTGTTAGCACTGCAGTGGAAACTGTGGAAAGACAGGGTTTTGACCTTATAAACCATAAAAGCCCCTTCTTTTAAGTGGAAAATAACAGTATTAAAGTTTTGGTCTTATTATGTTTAGTTTTTAGAAATGAAATGATCAAATTCTGGCAGATATTAATGCAATTTTTGGATAGAATATGTCATAAGATGTAACTTCATGGCTAAAAATGCAAACTGTCCTTCAGAGTTACACCTAATAACATCATGACATTAAAACTAATCAGGAACTCCAAGTAAGGCTTTCCTTCAAACACCCCTGGTCAATGTTCAAACCTGATCTGATAGCACAAAGGGTGTAACTGTAAAAGCTCTGAACACACTTTCTTCAAACATGTGCATATTCAAATTATATTTCAAACGACATGCACATTTTCTGAGTTTACAGGTATCGGTTCAAGGTCAAGGCAGATGTCGAGGCATGTACGAGTATACTTGAGCATTCCTTCCATTTCAGAGGAGTTGTGTTAGCCACGGGCAGAATTCCACCCAACAATGATAATAACACCTATGATAGATATGTGTGCTCTTTCACAGTCGTGTTTTACAAGCTCAGCAATTAACATAAAGTGAAATGGGCAGCTTTACTAAATTGTCACTAGAGAAAACTGCTGCTATTGGTTCAAATTGAAATCACACCCCAGTTGATTCAAACGAAAGAAAACATAACACATAACTAGGCCTGTCACAATAACAAATTTTGAAGCACAATATACAGCTACAGAGAAATATGTCATTAACAATTATACTGAAAGTACTTTATGTCACTGACACAAAGCAGCATCATGAACCAAAATTTTGCCATAGAAGTTATTTATTCTTAGCCTGTTTCATCAGCCAGTTTCACTTTGTGGAGACCGTCTGACCTCGCAGCGTTAGAATTTGTTTGCTCAATGGTAGGCGGTACTTTTTTCATTTAACTAATTGCTGCTATTTGGTTGAGATGTATGAAATGCGGCACTAATGGGGCTAACTGGTATATTAAGCTTTCTCAAATCCCATAGGAAGAAGGACAATAACGTCTTTCCCCTTAATAAAATTCACCAAACATTCTCTTTGTTCCGGCTTTTATTCCTCAATCTCGGGAATCGTGGTCAACACAGAATATATGGCTCTTCACTGATTGGCTGGTGCCCGAACTTGCACTTCCAGGGTTTTTGCAACCCATCTAGTGTGTTCCGATTCCTGACCTAGTCGCTGGACAGAAATGAAATTGAGCAGAGGCACTAGGTTGAATCAGCCTGGCAAATTATTCTACCCCCTACAACTCAAAATATAGTATAGAAAAATATTGCAAAGAAATTGTACACATGATAAACACTGACACCTAAAAATCGTTGTTCCAGCTTTCATGTATTGACATCGATATAATAATCATCATGACAGGCCTGTATATAACAAAACCTCCTTACCTTTGCACACATTCCCGACTTCCTCATATCCAGGTTTGCATTGGCACTGTCCAACGGGCACGACCCATTCGCCATCCACGGTGCAGTAAATCCTCGGCTGCTCCTCACTCACAGCATTATCCACACATTCACCTATGACCTCTCTCAATGCCTGATTCTCTCCTCCTGCCACAGTTTCTTGGAAAGATGCGAGACTCTTGATCGTAGCGGGGCATGTCTTGTAATAAACTCTAACTGAAAGCAGAGCCACGCAAGCTCCAATATCTTGAAAAGCTAAGTAAAACCCTTTCCTTGAGAGGTTCTCGACTACTTTTGTTTCAGTGTTGATACGCAGTTCATTTTTGCTGGTGATCTCATCTGGAGCAATAGTGGTTACTTTCTTGAATTGACCTTTTCGAAATGTGGTGCCAACATCTGCGTCCGCCTCAGAAGAAAAGAGATTGAAGGTTTCTTTGCAGGTCAGTGATGCACCATCAAAGGAGTTACAGTCTCTTACGATGAACTGGAGCTCCACAAAAACCCTTGAGGCTGAAGGTCTTCTCTGGATGAAGGTGGTTCGAAGCCAGTTGTCCTGCTCGCGCTCCCCCACATTGCACACTGAGTACGTGTAGAACTGGGAACCATTTAGAGTCCGCTGCACCACTTCCCACTGCAACAAGAAACAAGCCACAATGTTACCGGACCGAATACAGACCCCTGGGGAACACCTAATCATCGTGTAAGCGCTTTCCTCTAAAAAGAAAACAGAGTTAGTACCTAGGGGCTTGTGTGAGGGTCTAACCGTTGTAATATGAAACTAGAACAAAAAATCTAGTCCACACATTTGCTAATTGCTTCCTGCAAATATGTTAACTAGCTTTGACAACAACGCATACTGCAAGACTGGGAATTCCACTTTATGACCTTTCAGCAGTCCAACAATATAGACCTCAAGGATGTGCACGGGAAAGAATATACAACTCACAAATAAAGATACAATGCTTTTTAATTTGGTGAAACAATGCATGTTAGAACCATCACAGAGATATTTAAGCATGTTTTAAAGGTTCAATATTGCACAAAATTGACTATTGTGAGCTTATGTCGTGTTAGAATGCTCTTATCTCCAATAAAACATACCTAGAGTTGTGTTTTGTTACATTCACACATGTTTGAGAAAACCAAGTTTATTAGTCCGTGTACATCTCTTGGCAAAATGTTCTGTTCCTCCTTGTGATGTCATGTAGTGGCAGTTTTCAAGTTAACAGCTAAGTTTTACCTGTAGTTCAGTAAAGATAGGCAGTTCCAAGCCTGAAATCATCCAAATGATTCTAGTGAAGGTGTACGGAGTTTAAAACTAAATGGAGTACGGCTGGGTATCATTAAGAAGTTGCCGATACGATACATACCTCGATACATAGGCCACAATATGTACCTCGATACAGTGCACTTTCGATTCAATACGATATATTTCAAATCGAATCAATACGGTTCAATAAGAAATAAAGGCTAAATCATGGCTGATACTAAAAGTGTTTGTTAAACCACTTCTTGTGCAAAGTTCATATGAAACATTTTAATCATCAAAACAGTGAAAATGTCAAATGTGGCTCAAAAATGTGTTTCCTTCCTCTAAACAAGCAACAAAACTGTAGCGTTGTAACAAAATAATTTAGTAAAATATACCAAAAAATACTCTTGGCGATACAGTGATACAGCAGCCCAAGATATCAATACTGTATCATTCACATGAAACGGTACAAAATTTAGATATTTGTGTGTTAACCATGTGTGAATGAAATAAAACTCCAGATATGTATTTGATAAAGAAACAGCGTTATAACATAGATCAGAAAATGGCGTAATATGGGCCCTTTAAGGTACGGCTGGCTCTTAAAGAACAACTGGGCTGCACAAGGGCATGGGCTGTGGTTTACTCTCTGCATGGAGTCACTGTGCTGTTAATTAAAGGAATGTGCTCTGCTGGCCGAGTGTGTGGCTCTGCATATAAACCTGATGTACAGCAGGGCCAGCTCCTCTATTACCCAGCTGGTGATGGTTTTTATACGTTTCGAGGTTATGCTAAATGACGCCCGCAGTTAGACAATTGTGCATTATGTTACAGACACCCTGGTACTGAAGAAATAATGGTGATTTTAAAAAGTGAAACAAAATGTCAAAATGTGATGTAAGAGTGAAACTGTGCAGGGATAGTCAGAGGAACACGCCCACACTTGCCTTTGACTCACGCAAAATGAACCTATCAGCAGCGGATTTGCATGAGCTTAGTTTGTCAATTACTTTGAAACGACACAACACGGAGGCAGACACATGCGTCCCGTTTGCTGGCACTGCAAGAACCACAGCATTTGGGTGCAATAAAGGGTGGAATCTCTCTCAGTCATTTTCATGTGCGTTACGGAAAAAGGTAACTGGCCCACATCTATAGCCCCTCCCATCCCAAAGAGGTACCACATGCTACAACTTTAAAAGTTAATTGCTCTCTAACATACAATTCTGAAGAAACCACAAGAAGCCACAAGTATTCCCAGCTCTGAGCTTGCAGCTAGTCTGTCTGCAGCAGAGACACGCTCTACTAGGACCCCAGTACTCCTAGCGTAACATGGGCCCCTGCTTCAAGATTTACAGAGATGTGACAAGTGTACGCTCAAAAGCAGCTTACAGCTAACCGCACAAGTCAAACGGTCAGTGCTGTGCAAGGCCCGACTTTTCCTATGTCGTTTCTCAAAGCGCTTTCCCTCAGGCACATTCCACACGTGAGATGGAGGAGACGCTGGAGATGGTGTGGAGCAGTACTCACCCCTGGTTTGTCCGCCTGGTCTAAGGGCCAAGTGAGCCAGCCCAGGTCCACTCCTGTAGCCCGCATGTCCAGGAGAACCTCTGTGAACACAAGAGACAGTTTATAATGAGTTTTGTTTCAAGGAAAGTGTATAAGTGTGCTTGTGCCAGTACAAAACGCTTTTTTTTTTTAAATTTAACTATGCACTCTTTAAAATAAACATTCATTTATCAACATAAATTATAAAGTGTGAAAGTGCGAACATAGATGATTAAATATGTTCACATTTTAAATCGTTTCTTTATCAGTGCGAGTGGAGCAGGTTTAGATTCCTCAAAGTTATCTGGACGCTTCAAGGTTGTAGCCAACAATCCGCCGCTAAAGATAAAACCAACGGGAATGTCAATAAAAAGATACGAAGATTTGGAAATTACTATTCCACTAAAAATGTGTTGACATTTCACCTGTTGCCCTCGTAAAATAAAATCTGCGGACATACTGCAGCCTAATCAGACTTTATACAGCTGTACTCCAAGAACAATCGGCACTAAACACACTAATCTAACACATACGAAGTTAAAATGAAACCAACTAAAATAGGTTTGGCAGTCTGCGTTCAAATAAACTGTCACACAACAATCAGAGGTATTACGGGCTGAAACTTTCCCCAGTCCGCATATGGCACGCGCGCTTGGCTCCACTTGACAACTATCGAAAGTTTTTAAAAAGTTCATAGCACTTGTTTGACACATTAGACATGTACCTTCATTGGTCTGGATCGTGATGAAAATGCCGTTGATCAGTACAGAGAAGAAAAGTAAAGATCCGATTCCCGTAAAGAGCTCCATTTGTGCGGCTCTCCTTCGCCGTGTGAGCGCTGCTGGGCTCCGCGCTGCGCTCTGTGGACCGTCTGTTCCTGCGCTGTCCTCGCTCATTCACAAACCGCCCTGCCCCGCGACTCCGCCCGCTACCGCTGGAATGTGTGTGTGTAAAGTGAGTGTGGAGCCTGCAGCCCGCAGGGGCTTATCGATACAACGAGAACAAGGAAACATCGCGATTATCTGAAGTAGTCACACGTAAAAAAAAAAAAAAAAAAAAAAAAAAAAAAAGAAAAGAAAAAAGAAAAGAAAGACCTAACTCCTGTGTAAACAACAGCATAGTATGAAACATTTTAGAAAAAGTCCAGCTAGAAAAATAATAGACTTTTGCTGCACTGATTAACATTGATAAAAACTCATCGCAAAACTGGTGTATAGCTGTGTATTAGTAGGCCTATTATCGTTTTCGTGATTATGCATCATTCATTCATTATAATGTTTCTGCTCCTTTTTAGCTTATATGGTTCTACTTATACAGGCTCAGAGTAAAGTGCGGCTGAACTCCCTCCAGTGTCCAGTCTCAGGGAGAAGAAATGTTTGGCTGTTGTAGTCGACAAAACCATGGTGCAGTCATCAAACTGTCCACAGCACACCTGATGCCACAGTTTATACTGCGTGATCTGATGCTTTAGTTTATACTGAGCGCAGATTGTGTTACTACACCTATTTCTGCTGCGCACAGCTGCACCGTGACTGACAACAGCAGTGATGGGCCTGTTCTGTCTGGAGCTGAAAACCCCATCCTGTGAAGGGTTTGGAAATAAAATATTACTATAAATATGTTCTATATTAAAACAAGATGAATAGAAGTGTAGTAGTAGTAGTAGTAGTAGTACGTTTCTGTGGTTTTGGTCTTTTCACAAACTGTGTGAATAGCTGGTGGTTGTCTATTCATGTACTGAATGACTAAGTTTATAGTGTTACTTTTTTCACAAAAAGATCAAATACAAATCTCAATACAGTATTTGAAAAACAATGTAAATTTGATGCAAGACACTTTAACCAAGGCTGAAATCTTCAAATCATGGTTGTCTTCACTGTATTTTAGCTCCTTTAGCTGAATATATGATCTGTTTCTGGTTAGAAACTTAAAGTTTGTTTCAAGTAATAATGTTTAATTTCAAGTATTCCTGTTTATTTATTGATGAAAATTTAAACTGAAAAGTATGGATGATCCATCTTTTACCTAACAGTTCTTTTGATATTTTGCTAGTACTGGGGTTTACAGTATACTCTTAAAGGCACCATGCTGCTTACAGTGCCTTGAAGGCACCATCTTATTTGCATAAAGACACTGAATAGTTTGGCTCAGTGAATGGCTGTAGGGAGGGAGCACGCGGGAACGCCTCCTCTCTTGTGTCTTTGTTGAGGACGTCGCACATACAGAGGTGGAATCGAGCTGACAGCCGCACACAGATGTATTCATATCTGTATAATAGCAGCATGAATGGTGCGATCTGCACAGTACAGCTGGCCTGCTGATACGCCGTCATAACTTATGGGAAATATTTAAAAAATGTTGCACCCTGCCATCTCTTTAGAAGCAGAGCTCGGAGGTTGAGTCGAAGGTGCAGGGGGCGATGAGGGAGAGCAGTTTTAATAAGTGGTATTAGTCCTGTACCTAGCAACTGGCAGTGAGAGGAATCTGCCCGCTCGTATCTGCGCTCCCTCTGTTGTCCTGGGACAGTGTGGGCCAATGCCAGAGGTGATAAGAGGTCCAGCAGCCGCCACTCTATTCAGAGAGCAGGATAATAACTGTGAGAAGAGCCTGTGCTCTGCAGGACACGCTAACATGCCCGGCAAAACTCTTTCCCATGGTCTGGAAAAGGTTTTGAGATAGGAAGCTCTAAACAGCACAAATGACTCAACTCTTTGGAAAAATCATAACATTTTTAAGTATATTAATATTACACATGTTTAATCTCTGACTGGTGTCATCATCATATACTTTTCTCTAAGATCATTGCACGAAGAACCAAAGAAAATGTATATTTTCACCTCCCCTCTATACCCGCCCATTTCCCCAGTATTAACTTGTATTTTTTTTTTTTTTTAAATCCACTGCTTGCTATGATGAAATGTAACTAGTCAAGGCAACCTGATAGATTTATGTGCAAAATACTTGAGTTTGTGACATTGTTTTAATATGTATCATGCCTCAAAATAGCATTAACATTGAGACACAAACACCTAGAAGTGTCCTCCTCTGAAATAGTACTTTTTTTTGTACTTTTTAACACACTTCCAGTCACATCCTGTCCAATGCCTTATCTTTATTATATATTTATTCATTATATAATGTATTCATTTGAGCATTACTCAGCAAAACCCTCATAATTAGGCCTACACAATTGGACAGGAAGTAGTGACGCTAACAGTGTGGTTACAGGGTGCTGTTGTGCACAGAGTCTATTGTTTAATTTCTGTTACTAAGCAATTTAAAACCAATTTGTCTATTTACAATGAACCGCATAACATATCAGCAGGTCATTATCACCCCCTCTTCGTCTCCCACACATCTCTGCATATGGAAGCATTTTGTCCATCTGTGTCCGGTGTAGGATCAGGTGCAGTTTGAGAGTGAGGGGCGGGGTCACGGGGTCGTACACTGATCTGACTAACATGAGCTTCTTCCTCTGCCCATAGGAGCCGGGGGCCACACTTGTCGCACTGTTTTTACGGGAAACAAAGGGCGCCTGTTCGCCATCTCATGCTGCTGTCGTTGACTTACACCTGTGACTCCCCACCAAAATATCCACCTTTCCCAGGGGTGCCCCCCAGATCCAACCTACAGCCTTATTATTTGCTTCTTAGTTTTCAGTGTGATGACTTTTAGAAGGAATCGCAAAGCTTGTTGAAAAGGTGTCTAGGTCTAAATAAGATCCAAGATTCAAGGAAACTCTTCTTGTCAAGTTAAAAGAGCATTGTTGTCCATGTTCACTCATAAGAACTATAAGAACAGGTTTAGTGACGGTTCAGATGGGTTTGGATGGTTGGACATCAGCCTCTGTGCACAGGTGAACAAGCAAACATGAAAAAAAGTCATAGGATATGCATTTAATCTGATTTGTTGTAAAACATTTAAGGCCCATTACGAAACAATCCATCTCATGTGTTCATACTTTAAACAAAAGCATCTAACTCAATACACAGCAATAATGCACTGGATTTATATAGAGCCTTCCAGGAGACCCAATGTGCTTTTCACTGCATTATTCATTCACTCCACACAGACTATTGTAGCCCAGCTGCCCTGGGGCTGACTGATGGAAGCAAGGCTGCTAATCAGCGTCTTTGGCCCCTCCAACCCCACCAACTGTTGCAAAGTGCTGATACATCACATGCCAGTGAACCAAAACCACACTGACAATGCTATTCTTGCAGTGAATTTTAGACAAAGTAAGTAAGACAAACATATTCACTATATGGATATTATATACAGCAGTTATATTATAAGTATAATTACATTATAAAAATATTAAATATTAGGGATGTAACGATATCCAAATCTCACAGTACAATATTTATTACGATATTTTGGGGAGGCTAATATAATTGTAGATAGGACACGTTGCTGCTTTTAAAATACCTTGACAAGATTTTGATGTGAATTATTTCTGTCAGAATTCCAAGAATTCAAGTAAAAAACATATCTCTTCATGTTGTCAGCACTGAAATGAATCATGGGATATGTAGTTCCCTATGTTGATAAGTTGTTGCTTCTATAAAACCATACGATATCATGTTATTTTGGTTATTGTTACATCCCTATTAAATATTTTTCAAAAAACATTTATTTGATTCTAACTGTTGGATAAAATGTTCTGTATCATGGCTTTAACTAAACTGTATGATTTCAGTGCATGTTTTGGTGTCTTGCTAGCCATGGAGCCAGTCATAAGACACATTTTTTTGACAGTGTCTCCAAGATTTTCCCAGATATGCGTTAAATGAACAGGTATTTAAGCAGTGTTGCTCGCCAACTCTTCCTACTCCTGTCTAATAGATCGGATATCCTGGGGGAGGTTGGATTACGTGAAGCCTGTGTCCATTCAAATCCTTATCACAACATTATCAGAGCATTCCGATGCCCTGGGCCGGAACGTGCTCGTATTCCCATCCGACGCCTCCAGAGAGCTCTTTTCTGGAGACTGCAGACTCATGGTGAATTTGGCAGATGTCCACATTTGCTCACTCAACTAGAATGACCTGTGCCTCCTTGGTCCCTCCCGACTCAGATCAAGTGACGCCGACCACTGTGATAGAAAAAGGATGAGGAGATGAGGTGGCGAGAAGAGTTTAGGACCCCCAGGCTGAAGGGAGGGGCCATTTAAAACTATACCAACCTATTTTATGATGTGTAATGAAAAAAGATTAAAGTGCATTTGACAGATTAATTTAGATTATGACTATGACTATGACTTAGTTTGGTTGGATTGTCGCCATGGTAAATATTTATCATGGTTGCTCTGTTCCACCTTGTGATCTCATGTAGTCATTTTTTTTTTTTTTTTACTTTAGACAGGAAAATTCAGGGCTAAAATCATCCTATATGATTCTAGTGAAGGTGTGTGGAGTGTAAAAACAAAAAATATATAGCAATATAGGCCCATTAATGAGGAAACAACATTATTAAAGTCGAAGCATGCTCATAAAAGTGTGAAAACCTTGCATTGGTCATTAAAGGGGTTCAGAGAGGAAGTGCTTCGTTCCCCCAGGCCAAAGAGAAACTCCATTCAAATGTTCCACATGACCTCACTGCACTGGACACAGGCAGGGACAGGAAGTGGAGACAGTGCTCCTAATGGCACGAATGTTTGGGCTGAAAATCTTTTGTTTAGATTTGCTTTTATCGAGCTCTAGTAGTGCATCGATTCACATCTAAAATCCTTTATATAAAAAACATCTACATTTCAGAATCAAAGTGTGTATGACAGTTTTTGTTTTTTTATGATTCTCAAATTTTGACTTCATTTTGTGTGATAATACTTGGTATAAATCAAAATGATAGTTTTACA